GATCCTTCCACCTCTGCCTTCTGAGTAGCCGGAATTACAGACATGCGCTACCACGCCCGGCTGATTTTTTGATTTATTGTAGAGATGAGGTCTCGCTGACCAGGCGGTTCTCGAACCCGCGGGCTCAGGCAATCCACTCACCCCAGCCTCCCAAAGGCGCGGGATTACAGGCTGAGCCATCGAGCCCGGCTACTTCATACTCTTTATTACTCTTTTTTTAGCACAATGCTTCAGAGAAAGCAAACATGGATATTTATTTATGAATTCATTCTTCCATTTAGCATAAGATTCGAAACAAACTAAAGGAACATTTATAAAGAAATTAAAATATATAAATAAGTTTAAAAATAAGAGCCAGGAAAACCCTATATAAGCATAGTTCGAGACCACAAAGAAAGTTTATAATGAAAAGATAGAAGACATAGACTTCTACAGCATCATTAAATTGCAACCAAATGTGGCACTGGGCTTTCTGGCATTTATAGCAAAAATAAAAATAAATCAGTAACACATTTACATCTTCCTTAAAGTGAAAATGCACCAGTTCTTCAAAAGAATCAAAGCTAATTGAAAGAATCTTTTCATGTGAGATTTTGTGTAAAGGACACTTCTATGATAAATACACCAACAGATTTTAATAGTGTTTCTCAATGTAAGCCAAGTGCATGTGTGTCTTAGTTCATTTTTGTGTTGCTGTGAAGGAATACCTTCCTGGGCACAGTAGTTCATGCCTGTAATGCTTTGAGAAGCTAAAGTAGCAGGATTGCTTGAGGCCAGTATCAGCCTGGGCAACATGAAACATTTAAAAAATAAAAAAGAGGATACCTAGGGGTGGATCATTTATAAGGAAAAGAGGGTTTATTTGGTTCATAGTTCTGCAGGCTGTACAAGAAGCATGGTGCCAGCATATTTGGTGAGGGCCTCAAGATGCTTCTGCTCATGGTGGAAAAGTGAAGGGCCAATATGCAGAGATCACGTGGGAGAACAGAAGGGAAAGAGAGAAGGGAAAGGTGCCAGGCTCTTTCTAACAGTCAGATCTCAGGGGAACTCTTGTGGGTCAAACAGAGAGAGAGTTCACTCATTAAAAAGTCATTAATCTTCATGATGATGGGGTTGCAGATTGAAGGACTCAAATTAATAGCAAATTCTGTGGAAGTTTTAAAGTTGAGCTGCTAGAGTAAATTACTAGGTATTCTCAATACTTGAATATGGAACATGTGTACAGGGGAAGGAAATAAATTGCAATTTGTATGCAATGTATTGTAATTGGAAAATGCATTGTCTTAAATAAAGCTACAGGGGGTGCCAAAAAAAGTATATACATCTTAAGTGATGTTATCTATGCATTACTTCTTGAAATTGAATTGAATTGTTAGCAATGTGTAGTATGATGTTTGCTCAACCTTGCTTCCTCCATTTTCTTTGACTGTCACATGGTGATGCTAGCATTCATTTGACTAATGCCATCTTTTGAGCGAACGTCACACTTAAAATGTGTATACATTATTTTGGCACTCTTATATTTAAAAATTGGCACCAACAAAAAAAGAAGCCGCAGTCATTCACGAGGGATCTGCTCCCAGAACCCAAACACCTCCCATTGGGCCCTACCACCAAAACTGGGGATCAAATTTCAACATGAGATTTGCCACAGCCAAACAAATCACATCCAAACCATAGCAATGTGCCAAAACCAACTTCACTAAAAAGAGTTCTGTGGCGAAACTTAGTCACGCTGTTCCCTGCTTAAACTCCTCCAGCAGTCTCCCATCATCACACAGATAACTTGATGTATAGTTCAAAGCCCATTGTGATCCAACCATGCCTAGCTTTATAGCATATGTCTTACTGGTCAGCGACCCTCATGCAATAGTTTTCCCATATTAAGCTATCCAAGGATCTCTCTGGCTGCTCCCTAGGCCTGAAATAATCTCCATTCCCATTCCCACCCCCACCATTCATCTGAAGAATTCTTGCTCTTCTTCCAAAACTCAACACATGTGTCAACTTGCTAAACACTTCTTCCTGCCAAGTTAGATGTTCCTTCTCTACTCCAATAATATCTTGTACTTGTCATAGTTAAAACATTTATCAGATGGTTGATAACTGTATGTTTGTCTGTCTCTTCCACTAGATGATAAAAACAAGCATGAACCCAACTCACAGTAGAGTCTCAATAAATATTTTTAAACAAATAAATGAATGACAAAAGCTGCAACCATAAAATTCACTGGGATATTTAAATTTTATTAATGTGCATAATGAGTAAAACAATTCATACAGCTACTTTGTGGCATGCTAAGTAGTTCTCAAACTAAGGGAAGAAGTGCTGTGATCTTTTTCAAGTCTAAATTAACAATATGTCTTACATAAATTAGGGTGTCAAAGGAAGGCCCAAACTTTACCTGTACGATGACCACCTGTATACCTAATCCTGAATTGTATCCCACATCTTTAAAATAAAATAAAATAAAAGTAAGATTATAAATAAAGTAGGGTGTAATATCACCTATTTGATGGTAGGTGTAATATCACCTAATAAGTGGTGAGAATGGATTAAAAGTTTAAAGGAAGTAGAGAGGGTGTGAATTACCCCCAAGAAGACCAGGAGTAAAGAGTATGAAGCACAGGATAATTAGTATGTGGCTTAGAGTGGCCCAGTAATGCTGAGGCCCAGGATTTTGTTGTGGAACTTATCTATACCTACGTGCAGTATGTATGGTGTTGTCATCTACTTAAGCAGCAAATGTTTACTTTCTTTTTATTTATTTATTTATTTTTAACTTTTAAATTTTATATTCTAAAGAGGTGGGGTACAATTCAGGGTTAGGTATACAAATGTTCATTATGCAGTTACCCTTGTTGACGAGGTGTGCCCCCCATTTCCCCTGGCAGTTTCCCACAACGGCCAATCCCACCTCCCCTCCCCTGGCAGTTTGAACAGAGTACCATATGTTCTCTCTCATAAGCAGACCTTGAACAATTATCATAATACTGTAAGAATGTTTACCTTCTAAATTTTATCTCAACTCGTGTTTGTCAGCTTTTCATTGTCCCTCCACGTTAAGGGAAGCTAGATCTAGCCCAGAAGTTCTCAAACCTCAGCATTTATCAGAATCACCTGGAGGACTTGTGAAAACAGATTGCTGGGCCCCTCTTTCAGATTTTTGACTACATAGATCTGAAATAGGACTTGAGAATTTACATTTCTAACAATCTCCTAGGTGGTGATAATGCACTTGGTCCAAGGTCCACCTCTGAGAACCACTGCTAATCTAGTCTAGTCTATTTCAATGAAACATCAGTGGCATTAATGCAAGGGTGGTGACCTTTCTTTGTACT